CTTGCGAACTCTTCTTACTCACCACTGTTTTCGAAGACTTCAGAGATTTATTGCTTTCCTCAGAACCAGGTCCACCGCCGCCAATATTAGAGTCAGTTTCATATAAAAACACTTTGGCGTCATCACTATGGTATTTATGTTGATTGGCGCCGCCGGGCACTGGCAGTGCAGCCATTGCCTTTGACTTGAAGTGAGATTGGCGATTAAAACCGTTTCTTTCATTGTAGCAGCTGCCACGGTAACTATCGGCTTGACTACTAAGATCAGGGACATGTGCATCATGGAGTGCGCGGTCTGCATCGCCACCGCTTAAATGCGATGCTTGTCTGCGCTGCTGTTGGTAGTTGTCGTATTCATTTAACTTTTGCGTACGCTGCACATGATCCTTGTATTGCTGCGCCGTACACTGCTGCTGTTGGTAAAACTCTGCCAATTTGGAACGGTCCACGGTACTTGGGACGGTACTATTGGTGCTTACTTGTAATTTCGGATTCTTAATTATATGCCTAAAATGTGTCCTCAAATGTGAACGATAGTCTTCCTCGCCTGTAGGGTCCATTGCTTGAAATTAATTTAAAAGTCCCTTACAAAATATATTGGAAACGGACGAAAAAAGGGTATAAAGAGCTTATTTGTATTTGAAATTGTTTTTAACATTCAAAAATATCTGTCCCATTTTGACTTGTGAGTCTGATGTAAAATATCAATTTTCGGTAATGCAGTCAAATGAGGCGAACAAAGTATGAATGAGATAATCTGAATATAGGCCTTCTGTAGGAGAAATGTAGAGAAATTCATTAGGTCCATTCTGTAACTTTTCCAACTTGCAGCGAGAGCGTAATAGAAAAATAGAGAGTAAAATTGAGAGTAAGAGAAAATTTTCAGAAAAAGTTATTGAACGCAAAACTAGTAAAAACTTGCAACTTAAGCCATTTTGACATTTTCTGACGGTTAAGTTTTGGCGCGCAATTTTTTTTATTGGGAATAGGTGCAATCCCGTATTCCTCGGACTCGGACTAGTAAAACTGTCAAAAAATAAAAATTCGCTCAGAGCGAGAGAGTAACAGTGAAAAGTACGGGATCGCTTTCTAGTAAAAAATGGTAAATTCTGTCAACTTCAACATAACCTCCAAATTTTGGTTGTAAATTTTTGCTTACTTTCTATGTAAACACACTCAGCTCACACATGTAAATAAAGTAATTAAATACTTTTCAACATGAATTAGCAGTGCAATTTTCTTTTGTTGTTGTTGTTGTTGTTGTTGTAGCAGCACGTAGTCCCCGAATTGGTTGGTT